CGATGGTGATTTTTCGAAGAAAATCATCTTTAGCGATGAGGCGCATTTTCAACTTAATGGCTACGTGAATAAACAAAACTGTCGAATTTAGGGGATCGAAAATCCAAAAGTGATCCAACAGCTTCCCATGCATCCACCACGAGTCACTGTTTGATGCGAATTTTGGGTTGGAGGAGTGATTAGACTGAACTTTTTTGAGAATGCTGCGGGAAATGCGGTTACCGTCAATGGTGTTCCTTATCGTGACATGATAACCAACTTTTTATGGAAAGAATTGAACGGCATGGACTTGGAAGACATATTCTTTCAACAAGATGGCGTATCCTGCCATACTGCGGACGAAACAATGCAGTTATTGCAGACGAAGTTTCATGGTCGTGTCATTTCGCGCCGCGGCGATGTGAATTTGGCCATCAAGATCGTGCGATTTAACGCCATTGGACTTCCTTTCTTTGGGGGTTTTCTGAAAGGAAAAGTGTATGCCAATGATCCACAAACCATTCCGGAGTTCAAGGAAAAAATGATACGCACCATTAATGAAATTAGTCCGCAATTATGCCAAAATGTCATTAAAATTTTGTCAAAAGAATGAACGTTTGCAAACAGGATCGAGGCGGCCATTTATCGGATGTTATGTTTCACACATAACCTTCATATTTGTACCTTATATTATTATAATAAAATGTTATTATTATTATATTATGTTATTATTATAACAATAAAGTAAAAACATTCGTACTTTTCAAATAAATAATATGTTTTATTAATAAATTAAAATGTCAGATCACTTTAAGACACCCTTTATTACACTTATCTTCTAAATCTGTTTTCGATAACAATGATTTTTTTGTTACAAATTTTGTTATTTTTCGAGAGACGATATCATATGAAGTTTTGTATCTTTTTACCCTTGTTTCGGAAGTTTTGAATCCTACCATATTTTCCTCTTCTTGTGCTCGAGAAGCCCATCGAGCAATGTCAATGTCATGAATAATTATTCTATTTTCAAGCGCTTCATTAAAACGGTTTATTGTATATTCAGAAATTCTTTTTAATTTTTCATCTCTGTTGCCACCTGCACTGATTTGGTCCTCCCATCGCATTGTGGGCTGAGATACTCCAAAAAGTGACCAAAAACCAAGGTCAAAATATCGATAAAACATTAAAATTTTCGTAAAATAGGCAGTTGAAATTAACTATTTCCAGAATTGCATATTGATTGAATAATTAGTTTGTCCTTAATAAAAGTAGAAAGTTTAAAATTGTATAGAAATGATATCCTTCGGTTATCCGTATAATATTTTTTTTTATCTAAAATTATCTTACATCCTGAAGTCTATATATGATTTTGTTCATCTATATAAATGAGAAAACCAAGATTATAAACAGTGAAGGCTGTAATATGACTTTTAAGATATAAAAATCAAATAAATAATGTTGGAATGTATCGATTTTTAGATGTAAGTCCATCTATTTATCGCATGTTCCACAAAGTTCCACGGCTTTTTCGAAAAATGAATATATCATTGTATTCTACAGAATGTCCGCTTGAAAAAGAACTTGCGCATTTTTGCGCCTTTTTGTTTAAATTTCGCGAGACACCGCCGCAAGCGGCTGGCGCCGGTCGGGCGGTGAAACCGAAAGGGTCGCCAGCGACGTCGATCGGCCTAACCGCCACTTCCTTCACCCAGTCGGTCGTCGTAGCGCGGCGCATCGCCGCATAAGGTCTACTCGGGGAAGAAATCTCGCCTGGGGATAAAAGCAAGCGCGTCGCGCGTCTCGAGATCTTTTTGCACGGTCCATCGCCAATTGTGGCACTTTCTCTCTCTTATAGCTCGCTACATTTTGTACGCTGTTTCACATAGAAACTATCGACGGCTCAAGTCCGTCCGAATAGATTGCTGTCAGCGCGGTGATCCCCGTGCTCTGTCGCCACTCTTATCAAACATGGCAACTTTTACAAAAAAAGAAATTTTAGATTTAATTCCAGAAAAGACAAATATTGATGTAGCTGTCATTTACATTTTAAACAAGTTAAGTACTTTTAATGTAAATATAACGGGAGACAATCTCTTGAAGTTAGAGCAAAGTATAGCGACTCTTCAAACTAAACGGAATACAAAATTTAATAATGCTCAAAGGAAGAAGACCAGATTTGAAAAAAATAATTCTGCATGGCTTGATTCGATATTCAACATTCACACTGATACTTTAATAAAAGAGCCAGTGCCTTCTGTTTCACATTCTGGTCCAGGGTGCCCATCTCTTGATTTCGTAAACAAATCTTCTAAATCCAAAAAACGAGAAATTGCACAAATAAGTGCTGAATGTAATTATGATTCTGCTAAAATGTTATTGATGCTGCAAAGCGTTCAGGACAAAAAGATTTACAAGCAGTCTTAGATGAACTTTCAAAAAGTCCAGAACGTCCGCACAAAGTTAAGAAAATTTTGGATACTGCTTCTTCTTTAATAATAATTAAGAAGACTCCCGAAGAAGCTTTGGCATTTCTTTTAAATAATTCTCTGTCAAAAAATGTATATACGAATATGCGTCTAGAAAGTAAGTTGTCTGGTGCAGACATATGGCCAACCTATGATGATATTAGAAGTAAAATCACAATGTAGGCCATCAAAAGATAAAGTATCTATTAGTGAAAATATTGCTGAAGTTACTCTTCAATCGCTACTAGATCACACTGCTCGACGAATCGTGAGCATGCAAGAAGATGTAATACTTCAAATTATGCGTAAAAACGATAATATTGTCATGGAAACCATATTAGCTTGTTCCTGGGGTTTCGATGGAAGCACGGGTCATTCTTGTTATAAACAAGCCTATAAAGATAGGCAAGATTTCAATGATGAAAATTTATTTGTTACATCTGTTATCCCACTTCGTTTGAATACATCCTCTAACATGATAGTATGGAATAATCGTATGACACAGTCTGCAAGGGTTTGCCGTCCAAAAAAACTAGAATTTATAAAAGAATCGACCGATATTATTTTAAAACAAAAGCAGTTAATGGATGATGAGATAAAAAATTTACGTGTTTGTACGATTGACTTAGCAGATTGCCAAATACAAGTACGTTTCTCTTTACATATGACTTTAATAGATGGTAAAGTTTTAAATACAATAACAGGTACTCGTTCGATGCAGACGTGTCCAATTTGTCACGCAACTCCTAAGGAATTTAACAATTTGTCTAATATAACAAGAGTTTTTATACCAGAACCAAAATCACTTCAGTATGGAATACAACCGTTACATGCTTGAATAAAGATATTTGAATGTAGCTTACATATTTCATATCGAGAAGATATTAAAAAATGGCAGATCAGAGGTACGAAGGACAAGGTTGAATGTGAGGCTCGAAAAAAAGCAATTCAAAAAATTCTATGGGATAAACTAGGATTAAAAGTAGATAAACCGAAACCATGTGGTTGCGGTACAAGCAACGATGGTAATACTGCACGTAGGGCTTTCGAAAATCTAGAAATATTCGCTGATTGTCTTCAATTAGATCGGCAATTACTTGCAAATTCTAGGACAATTTTGATAACATTGTCTTCTCAATATCCAATAAATATCAGTCGATTTAAAGAGTTATGTGATCGTACAGCCAAGCTCTATGTATCTTGTTATCCATGGTATCCAATGCCTTCATCACTGCATAAAATTTTAATTCACGGAGCCGATATTATCAGTTTTAGTATATTGCCAGTAGGTATGCTTGGTGAAGAAGCATCAGAGGCCAGAAATAAAGATTACAAAAGATACAGGCAATTTCATAGTAGGAAATATTGTCGTAAAGCTAATTTGGAAGACATATTTTTTCGAGCAATGGATACATCAGATCCTGTAATCTCAACTATTAATATAATAAGGTTAGTTGGAAGTAAAAAAAAATTATTTTTCCCTCCAGAAGTCATCGAACTTTTTGACATTCCTAAGGAAAATATGGAGGAAATAAGCGATGATGATGATTGCGAAAATAAATCTAATAACACAGATTTTTCAAATTCGATGTCAAACTTACGTGATTTGGACGATATAGAATTATCTAATGAAGATGATTAATTATTTAGACATGTTCGTGAGAAACGGGGATACTCACGATAAAAAAAGCATCCCGATTCGTGAGAGGCGAGGGGACTCACGATAAACAAGCACCCCGATTCGTGAGAGGCGAGGGGACTCACGATAAACAAGCACCCCGATTCGTGAGAGGCGAGGGGACTCACGATAAACAAGCACCCCCATTCGTGAGAGGCGAGGGGACTCACGATAAACAAGTACCTCGAATTACCGATAGGTAATATGGGATCTAAAATCGTACTGTAACCTCCACGTGGTAGATTCTGCAAACTACATTTTTGTAGGCTATCTACAGACGTAAATTGTTTTACCAAAATAATAGATATTTTTTTTGCTATAAATATTAAACTGCTTAATATTAACAGAATATAAAGTAAATTCTTAATACATGTAACTATGTTTAGATATAAATAGAATGCAAATTTTATATTTGTCTGTGTGTGTTTGTGTGTGCGCATGCACGTATATTTACGTGTATATAAGTTTTACATATTACATACGTACGTACGAAAGGATATATAAACGACCTATAAAGACTGCATATGCATTTTTCATGAAATTCCGATAAAATTTTGGCGAATACGCTATTTTGAATCCTCCATTTTGAATTTTGACGTTATTTTTGAAATCAGGGACCTAAAAAACCCCTTATAACAAATTCCATGTCCATACGACGAGTAATCTTCAAGTTACCGAATTTTGGCACGAAATGGTGGGTCGCCAGCTCACTGTGCACTGGCAAAAACTGAGAATTTCGATCTTACATATGTATCTCAGAGGTCTTAAAAGCCCGTATAAATTTGTCCGATCCAAAAATCTTCGATATTTTACAGGTATTATACATTTACAGGTTTTATACATTTGACAAATTTGTGCATCCGCCATTTTGAATAGAGGGTCTAATTTAAAAATCGGGCTCGATACAATTGTAGAGCAATTCATCGCGAGTAAATTTAAAAAAAAGCATGGAAATCGGTTAAGAATTAACCGTTAACGCCGTTTAGCGATTTTTGTCCACGAAAATACCCATTTGACCCACTGTGCATCGTCGTAATTGTCGCATCGATGTTACTTTCTGTATCTTCTTTTAACTCCTTCAAGCGATCTTGGTCCTGTTTTATTGCTCTTCCAGTATTCCACAGCTTGCTTTTTATAATCATTTGATATTCCTGATTCAACGGAGCTACAAATAACTTCTTCCGGGAGATACTCTCTTCTTTCATTTTCCTCTAATAAATCAATATTTTTCGCTTCTGGAACTTCATATGTATTGTAAAAATCTAAAGTTTCTACTTCTTCTATTTCAAATTCCTCTCCATTTTCTATTTCTTTTAACAAATATTCAATCTTCTCCTTCACTTCTACTTCTTTTGGAGTTATCGGACCTTGTGGAAAGTTAAGAGCAATGAAAGTTGTATAGAGTAACATTATAACATTCAAGGGATTAAATTGCATCATTCTGAAAAATATTAAAATGAAATATTTTTCTCGAACCATGATATATAAAATAATATATAAAATAAAACACACTTTATAATTAATGCAGTGATTTTCTTATGTTAATCCTGATGCCGCTTCTTCTTTCTGTCAAATATATTGTTACGTCCTGTAGATTTAATTAGTAAAAATTCTTTCCTCTCGCAGATTTATATTCTCCTAATATAACTATAATAGGAATATATACATATATAAATATAAATTAGGAAACAGGCCCATCTGGCGAACAGCCGTCGCGCCAAATGAAAGGCGATTCGGGAAAATTCCATATGAAACAGTGCCCTGTTGTAAAAATCTACGTCTTCGTTTAAAGTTTATATCTGGATAGTGTTCGCCAAGTGTGTCCGTCGTCCTAGCCATAAAAATTTGAAACTCCGCGCTAACAAACCTTCAGTAAAACAAAGCAACACAAAGCATTCTTGCTCTAAAACTTGAAACTTATATCTTCCCAATCCAAAACCATATGTGCCCTATCAGTCAACCAACAAAGCTTACTTCACTGATAGTCGTAAAATCTGATCTCAGCCTTTGATTTACGGCATTTTGATTTTTCCAGCCGGCCACTTGTATACATTTCTCTATCTCAAGAATCCACCACCTCCACGCTTGTCGCGCCTAATTCATTCAGCCAATCATATATCCACCTAAAACTATGAGACACCCACGCTCCACCCTTCAGCCCTTCCATATTCATATCTCCAAAAACTAACTGTCTCCTCCCACGATGTCTTTTAACTTTGCTAATGGCTGAGACTTTTTCCCACTAAGACCAATTCACCCCTTCCTCAAAGGCTATCTCTCTACCCATCCTGATAGTTTCTGCCTCCGATTATCACTATAAAAACCGCGGTAATCCGCCTCTGCGACACACTACTTCTACTTCTTCCATTACTTCTATTCTGAGAGACAGGAAAAAGAGCAGATTCACATAGATTCTAGATTCAAAAGTCAGACCTGTAAAAACGCGTCCTTAGACTCAAATTCGTCTTCGGTTTTGTTTCGGCACTACACATACTCTTACGTCCTCTGTCTTATTTTTTTTTTGGGGACAAAAATAAAAAGTTAGAATCAGTGCTATTGTGCCATAATTGGACAATTGGAAGGGAGTGGACGAGCACAACTTAACCTACCGAGCAGGAGCTACCAAACAACAATTTTATTTTCGCTCACCTTCAGGATAATAGGAGTCAGCAGTAAGTTCTGTTTTTTTTTTGCTTCTACCTTTTCTACCACCATCTTATTAATTCCCCATATTATTGAAATCCGTTTTTAGTGGGTCATTATTACAACATAGGAGTAACCCTCCACCACGTTTTCCGAACGTTTGAGGCAGTTTTTGATATTAGCGATCCAGACCAACTTACGTCTCAGATCCACTACCTCCGAGCCATAGTTAATATAGCGTTAGGAACTGATTATCACCCGGATCCTACACTCCTATCCCCTTACCTTCTTCCTCGTTTTTCCCCTGGTACTCCGCCTTCTTCTCCTACACACGCGTCCCCGCCTTCAACCCCTTCGATATCTTATTCACCAGTTTCCTTCTCCGAACTATCCACTCCCCTAAATTCACCCGACCACTCACGCCCTCCCTCACCCGACTAACTCTTTACTCATATTCCTACCTATTATTTTTTTTTTATTATTCCTCCTTTCTTTCACTTCTCATACATACACACATACACATACACAGACATTCTTCAACTGTATTAAACCGCGCCGTAATTCATTTTGTTATAATAGTCATTTTAATAAATCTGTTTATATTTCATTCTTTTTCCAATTGATTTCAAAATCACATATACCCTTCCAGCAGTCAACTCATGGTCCTATCCCCGGTAAAGGGATTCGCGTCCCTGACCGAAAAACGGACCGCTCGTCGTATGTCGGTGCCCGAGTAAAGGGACCCGTCGGGTCCCTGACCCGTTCACTGATACGCGTGTATGAACGAGGTTCGCCTTACTCGCGAACGAAAGGGTTGCGTTCCTCCTCTAGGACGTAACAATATGTAGTGAATTCAGAATAAATTAATGTCGTGAAAACGGAAAGACAGCTCTATATTTACGTATGTAGATATTCTGAAATTGAAATAACTACATATATTTGTTCTTCAAATTAGTAAAAATTTTCTTTGATTATTAATCATTATTATATTAGGAGTACAAATAAGTTTCCGCCGTTTGACAAAAGATGGCTCCACCAGAAGGTTATGTTGAAATTGTCAGATGTTAAACGTAATATCGTAAGTTTGAACATCTGGTAATAACATAACTTTGAAGTATTAGTGACTCCGTATTAGCATCACATAATTTTTTCGTGCAAAAATGTAAAGTTTTGTGCCAAATAAGCGTCATTTGAGGGAACTTTTGATTTACTTCTTTAATTTGAAGAAATTTGCAGCTGAGGCGCATCGATTACTTGTAGAAGCATATGGTGAGACTGCTTTAAGTGAAAGAAGTTGTCGTAAGTGGTTTCAAAAGTTTAAAAACGGTGAGTTTGACGTGGAAGACAAAGAACGTAATGGAAGGCCGAAAGTGTACGAAGACACGGAATTGGAAGCATAATTGTAGGAAGATTCGTGCCAAACGCAAGAAGAACTTGCACTTACATTAGAAGTAACTCAACAAGCAATTTCACATCGTTTAAAATCGTTGGGAATGATTCAAAAACAAGGAAATTGGGTTCCATATGAACTAAAGCCGAGAGACGTTGAACGCCGATTTTGCACGTGTGAAATGCTGCTTGCCAGGCATAAAAGAAAGGATTTTTTGCATCGTATAGTCACTGGTGATGAAAAATGGATCCACTACGATAACCCAAAGAAGAGAAAATCATGGGGACCACCTGGCCATGCTTCAACATCGACAGCCAAACCGAATATTCATGGAAAAAAACTCATGCTGTGTATTTGGTGGAATCAGCTTGGTGTCGTGTATTATGAGTTGCTCAAACCGAACGAAACCATTACTGGAGCTCTCTACCGAATACAATTAATGAGATTGAGCCGAGCACTCAAGGAAAAACGCACCCATTACTACTCCAGACACAACAAAATTATTCTCCTACATGACAACGCTCAGCCACATGTTACAAAACCGGTCAAAACCTATTTGGAAACACTTAATTGGGAAGTCCTACCCCACCCGCCGTATTCACCAGACATTGCCCCTTCCGATTATCACTTGTTCCGGTCGATGGCACATGGCCTGTCTAAGCAGCGTTTTACATCATATGAAGATACTAAAAATTGGATCGATTCGTGGATCGCCTCAAAAGATGAAGAGTTCTTCCGACGTGGTATCCGAATGCTACCAGAAAGATGGGAAAAAGTAGTGGCTAGTGATGGACAATACTTTAAATAAAACGTAATGTACCATTCTTTTACAATAAATTCCTAATTTTTGATAGAAAACGGCGGAAACTTATTTGTACTCCTAATATATAATTTATAATTTAACTCTGCTCAATTTCGCTCCATTTTTCCTTATATTATCACATTACTGATAACTCGACGAACTATTGCAATTCCAATAATATAAAATAGAGAATGACAAGATATGTAATAATAAATATAAAATAATAATATCAGTTAGTAATAATAATAAATAATAATAATAAATATAAAATAATAATATCAGTTAGTAATAAATACTTATGTATTTAACAAAGAATGTATTAAAAGAAGTTTTAAACACACACATAGAGAGAAAGCAATATGTACTTATAAACTTGCGCTCACAAATGATACGTCGTGAAACGATGGGTACTTACTGCGACACTAGCTTGTACTACTGCTTATGAAATGTACATATTACGCTTACTCATGATTTGCGTCGCACAAAGTGGCTGCTTTCCAGCACTTTAAATAGCTCACATAACTGTAACATCTATGACACTTGATATTCATTTATTATTAGAATTATAACAAAATCGAAAGTAAACAGGATGGAAAGAAGATATGACAATAATACGACGGCACAACACTTTCACGATTGTAGATGTGTATGTGTATATGTGGTGCGTGTGCGTGAAAATAATTACGTTATCAGTATCATATTAGATATAATTATGCAATCACGTATGATTTCATGAATGCGGCGTTTTTCACGTGTCATAGATTCGATGGAAACGCCGCGTTAATAAACATGATTGATTTTGCAATTCATGTATCACTTCCGTCGTAGTACTTATGTCAACCACTACAAAAATAGACACACAAACTTATCATACATAAAATCTAACTTTCATAGAGCGTATACGTATATCTTTTTATAAAGACAAAGCATAGAAATATTGTTGTGTATAAATCTATGATTGTTATTAATAACGTTATTATATATTGAAATGTTTTATGATTACATATTCTTCGTATCGGTATTAATCGCCTATTATTCGAAAGAAATTCGAAGAGGATGTGTTGCGCATAGTATCGTGTGAGGTAGGCGCTGTGCATAACGTATTACGGGTATACACGGACATTTACATCTATTTTTCGAAAAGTTCGTATCTCGGAAAGTAACATTATTATACAGGGTGAAGAAAAAAACCCGAGACCCCTGAAAATTTCGAAAAATATATACTTTATAAAAAAATGTTTCAAACAAAAGTTGTAGCGTTGAAAAAGATCTATTTACCAATCTTAACAATTTGACCTTGGGTGGCGTCATCAAGGTCAGGACAAGGTCACCTCGGATTTTTTAAATGGAACCCCAATTTTTTATTGCATATTCTTATAGCTCTTCTTCAGACCTTTTCGAAGCACTATGGTTTGATCCAATTTGAATAAGTTGTTCCGAAGTTATCGAGTTTTTTAAAGTAAGATATCTAGCCAATTAAGGCAAGATCGGAGGATGATCCGGCCAACTAAGGCAAGGTCCGAATGATCGAGCCAACTAAGACAAGATCGGAGGATGATCCAGCCAACTCGTAAAAATAATTGCGCGACTAACTTCCAGGCATTGGCTCCTATTGGCTTGTCTTAATTTCGTTGATTGATTTATTTCCGTTATTTATTTATTTGAAGTATTCTGCTGTTCGATGTTTATTTCTTCCATTTACTCATTTAATACTCATTACAG